GCTTATAACTTGTATAAAGACATTCTGAAAATGTTAGGAGATTTTGGACTGTAGCCTATAAAATAAATGGCTTCTCAAAGTAAATTGTTATTTGCTAAAATTGGCTTTTTGATTGTTACACCTGAAAAAAATACATTCATCTAACTGTTCCCTTTAATTATTTTAGTAGGCTGAGTTAAACTAATTAGACAGATATTCAACTTATAATTTGAAGCTGTTGGGTTCCTTAAACTGTCTCTTCTCTTGAGTACATTTTATCTTATCACAACTGTAACCTTACACTTTTTAATGTCTTAGAATTAAGATGTATTACCTTCTTTTTTCATATAAAATTCAGTTAATTTGAAATGGCAAATTCTTTAGCCGATTGTGTATCATAGTTCATCTGCAAGGTATAAACCCAGGCATATACAAGAATTGTGTTAACGATTACATCTTTGATCCTCTTGCACATTTTTCATGGTAATCAATCTGAGAGGCACTTCAGCAAGCAGGCTTGGGTTATTTTCCTGTTGAGTGGGATTGGAAAACAGTGCACAAGACCGGGGAAGTGGTGTTTTCTTGTATCTGGTTAAAGAAAGTGATCTCCTTTGCAGGGTCAGAGAAAGTACTGTTCCTCTCACAAGACTGAATGTGGGGCAAGAAAGATACAGTCATCAGATTGCTTAAATTTTGGAAGAAAAAAAAGGAATTTTCTATTTTAATACTTACCATAAGGTACTTTCACTCAATAGCACTTAAAATATTTTGAATTAAATGTCTTTAAAAATAACAATATAATGTTACTAAAAAATGTAATTCGCTGAAATAAATTCTGCATGATCTTCTTTTGGTAGTTGCATAGAATTTTTTTACTGTAAGGTATTAAAATTAAAATGTAAATATTTTATTTTAAAATCTATAGAAAAGTGCCAATTAATTGATCTATTTTGCCTGTGAAAATGTACTAAGTATATACAAATAAGAACTGCTTTACATTTAAAAGCAGTTTTATTTATAGAAAATTATATTTGTAAAGGCTCTGATTATTAAAAATATGATAATTCATAATGTTGATAGTTAAAAGGAAGAAAACCAAGGTTCTAAGCTTAATCCATTAAATGGGTTTTAGAATCTGGCAAAATGATCTTATACATCGAAGAATATTTTATGGTTTTTGAGGCAAGTAACTGGATCTTTTATATCCCTGTATGTTAGTCTATTTTAAATGGTTAATATCTCTTATTAGGTGATCTCTTAAAGGGGAAAAACTGTTTATGCAATTAAGTTGTGCAGAACAGTAGATACAAATCTAGTTTGTATTATTATGATACCATAGTTTCTATATTATATTTCATTTCTGTAAGTCAAGATCCCCATATTCAGACGAACTTAAAAAGCTCTTTCCCATTGTTTCTAATCAGGCAACATTTTTAGAAAATTTAAAATCACTTTCATAAGCAAGTTTAGTGCTCCCTCTTGTGGCAGGCTCACTTTTTGAAGATAAAAGATTGATCACTAAAAAGAATGATTTTCATTATAGTTTAAGTAAAATTTTAAACTATATGTGACTAGAAAACAAAGCTTAAACAGAGAACTGGAAGTATTTTTGTTTATTGACAATGGAGAGGGTTTCTGTTACCATTACCTTTTGAGTGAATCTGTTAAACAAAAATTGACATCAAAACAAATGTAATGTACGTGCAAACATAGCAAATTAAATACAAAATAGGAGTTACTAATGACAGATCTTGCTGTTAATAAGATCAAGCAGCAGAAAATCAGCAGTTAGATAAATGGTATTCTTAAATAGATTTTACTTTGAAATCTCCCATATAAACAAAGAATAAACAACAGTAACACCACCAAATAAAGCCACAGGGAAGAGATGATTCTTCTATACTTTTATACACTGTATATGTTAATCATTCTGTCTTTATTTCCTCTGATAAGACTGACTTCAGGGAAGTCGCAACAAGGCCTTCTCGGCTAAAAGCATATAACGTTAGACATGAGTCTGGCTAATGCCCTATTACACTGACAAAAGGGAAAGGTTTCTGGGGTTTTGCTTTTTCCAGTGGAAATGACCTCAGACTCTGCAGTGGTTGACATTCACTGAACAGGGCTGGCTGGAGGTTCAAGGTATTTGGATGAACATGTGGTTCTTAGTAAAGAAGTTTTGTTTTGTTTTTTTCCTTGGTCCACAGGTAATAAGAGATTTTTTTTTTTCTTTATAATTTTTTTTAAATAATTGCTTTTGACTCTTGTAAACAGTTTGGCTTTGTTTTGTATTGAAAAGGAGATCAAGCCATCACAGTGCTATTTCTAAAGATATAGGACATCCCTGATTTCCTTTAAAGGTCTATTTTTGGATCCAGTTCCAGGTTAAATCATTCTTTTTTACATGATCAGAGGCAGGTTTTCAGCTTTAAGGATTGACAGACTTGAAGGAGAAACATGTGGAAGCATGAAACATGCTTCCAGGAAACATATCAATTTGTTACAATTCAAAAACTGTAAAAATGGTGGAATGGTAAAATACAAACAGTACTTGGAATTGTCAAATGTTTGCACTCAAGACTCCATGAACCATATATTTTATTTTTAAAAAAATCATATTTATATCCATTTACATAAGACTTACACATTTAAAAAGAAATGCATACACAGTAATACATAAATGCCAAGTATATTACAATAAAACATGAAAAAACAAGTGGCTCCATTTCATAAAAGCATCTGTTGTACAGAATTTATGATGTGGATGATGCTTATTATTCAAATGACTTAAGCATTTTCTTAGAATTGTAGTAAACTAATCAAACTTAACATCTGACTCCCCCCAAAATCACATTTTCAGCTTAATAAACCATTAGTTGTGATTATTTCCTTAGAATTCAGTCTTCACAAAGGTTTTCACTGCTTATCTTCTTAGATGGTAGTGCACTTTAGGTAGAGTAGACTGAAAAGACGACATCTAAAATATGTAATGGATAGCATTAGTTTACTGAAAGATCCCAGATTGGAAGATCTCCCTCTGCGACTCTTGGTGTACCTCCGTGCATCCTGCCCACTTTTGTCCTAAGGGTAGGATATCATCTCAGGTCTAACCAATGGCTGTATGTAATTAATATTTGCTCCTAATTTTGTGCAGGCGAGGTTCATAAATAAGATTTGCTCAACTTTGTAGAAAGTATGGTAGTAATATAAACAAAGGTAGTCACAGAAAACCTCAGCAGTCCTTTTGAAAAGCGTACAGCTTGCTCATTAGTAAATTGAGTTGAGTTGACCTATTCCATGGAATAGATCTGTATTCTAACTCATATATTTTAGAGCTCTTCAAAAGAGACCTTTGTTTAATTGTGACAAAAACATAATGATAATCAGTAACATATAAAGAATCTGGGTTAGTGATATGGCATTGCTGATTCTTTCCAGTCATAATACACTTAGGAAAAGATCACAATTACTATCCCGACACAAGAGATAAATGATATGTTCTGAATTGTGTTAATAACAAAAATGCTAATGTCTCCTCACAATAGAAATTGGTTGTCCCAGATTAACTTATTGGAAATAAACACCTTTATCCCATTTAATGGTAAAAACTAGAAAATATGAACTAGAATGCCAAGCACAAAATACAGATTACAAATAGTTAAAGTGTAATTCTACCCATCAGTCAAGAGCTAAGAAGCAAGCACTACTCAACATATTAAGTAGTCATTTGTAAATTAGTGAAGTATTCTAATTCTAGTTCCTGGTAAATTATCATGTTATGTGTAGAAACTATTACAAATAATCTTTTGGAAAGCCTCTTATTTAGCCAAATTATTACAAATTTTAGATCATGCCTAATAAGATGCCAAATTGTATACCATAATTAAATTTTTAATGTTAGGGTTTTACATTCTGAAATTAAATCTCTTATCTGAAAGCTTTTTGTTTTATCATCAGCAGCTTCAAATAGTGACCCAAATAAGGCAGCATATCAGCTCCTATATTAGGCCCCAAAGACCATCAGTAAATTGTGTGGAGCTTTTAGTTCAAGGCAATGAATAAACAGCACAAGATGAGCTGTTCCCCTCCCCATCCCTGTGCACATACTTGGTTCTAAATATTGCTCTAAAAAGTGTTTCTCCAAAATTTTAATTCATCGTAAATGGTAGAATATTTTGGTAAAGCACAGTTGTAGATTAAAAAATGTTTATGAGTTCTTGACATTTATTTTCTATGAAAACACAGTTTTACTAAGACTGGTTTCCAATAAAATTCCATTTTCATATGGATTTGGAAGTAGATTCCATCAACTAGTATTTCTCGAAGTACAAATGCCTTATAGCTTATGATTTTATAGGATGGTTTTCTGTCCTGTCCGCCATTGTTATAATGTTATTTCACTTGGTTTCTATCTGCTATAAACCCCAGATACTTAAAATTCCTATAGGTTTTCAACAAGTATTAATCACATTGATGAAAAACAACATACCAGAAGTTCAGATTTTTCAGTTATACTTTTGTTTTTAATGTGAAATCACCTCCAAATCATTTTCCTGATTCTGCCACTATTTGACTCTGGGTACCTACTAGAATACTATTTGCCTATTTCAACTTCCCCTATATAAAATACTCACTTAAAAGTGTGTTATTATGTAAGTGCCAAACTCTCATCAGTCAAATGCTATATGCATCAATATAAAGTGCTACGAAAAAGTAGAAACCAGTGTAGTAGCAACCCATTGATGTGTAATAAGATAGTGACAGGCCTCCAACAGATGGGCCTTAAACCATAGCAGACAGGTGGTGATAGGAAATCCTAGATTAAGAGTTACAATATAAAGAACTTTCCACTCTCTAGCAACTCAAAGGGCTTCTCTCACTTCTCTCACTCTTCACCACAACGAAGAGTATTGTGTATATTTACTAGTCTATGTAGGCTCCATTTTTTTTGGCGGTTTGTTTTTTGTCAGCCAAGGAAAACTACTCACAGCAAGTCAGTGCTGCCTCCTTTGAGTGGCTTGTCAACATGAGTATGTGCGAACAGTGGAGTTGTCTAACCTCTGCAGTCTTGATGAAGGAACTGCAAACGGAGAAAAGGGCTTTAGAGGGACTTGGATGACTGAGTACAAAATTTCAGATGAGAAAGATTCATTTTCCCTGCATAAAGGGATCTGAACATATTAATAGACCTTCTTTCTCTCAGATAGAAGCCACTCATTTTCCTTTTCTCAAGACAAGCTACTAAAGAAAATTTATTCCAATGTGATTCACCTATGCTTTCAAGTTGTGTATTCCTCCTTAGATGAAATCTGTTAACAAGAACAGTTCCCCTGGGTGCTCCTGTTTTTGAAGCAAAGATTGCTCTTGAAGAATTCAGTATGATGGATTGTCTTCCCCTCCAATACTGAAAAGCTTCTATACTCATTTTAATCATGTTAAATTGCTTATGAATTTTGCTAATGTGTTCCATAACAGTAACAACTTAGAAGAAATATAGATCAAAGATCATGGAATATAGATCAAAGATCATGGTTTATACTGGAACTTATTTTAAGGGCCATGATAACTATCACCTTGACAAGAAATAATAATTCTAGGTGATTGTCTCAATAAAGAGAGTGGGACTTTTTTGTTTAATGCTTACCAGACAGACATAATTTTGTGACTGCAATTTCAAATTTGTCTCTCCTCCAGAATGGCTGTTTTCCTTTGTGAAGTATATAACACAAGTCTAATGTCCACAGAAGGAAATACTAATTGGGAAATTACTGTCGGTTTTGTGTTTAATTCTCTTCTCATGGTTGTGCTTGTTTATTTAAGGCCTTCTGCCTTGGTCATAGGTGAGAATATCTGATGAGTCTGAGTTTTTAAGATGAAATAGAAAACTTGCAATATTCAAGCATGTAGGGTGACAGTGGAGTTAATTTCCATTTATTAAGGACCTTTAGTCCAAATCCATCCTCTAAACAAATTATATACTTGGTGAATAGAAGAGTAAAGAAACACAAATCATGCAGATGTTTTTCTTCCTAGATGTGGACATTAGCCAAAATTGTCCTTTTTAGGACATTTTAAATTATTTTTAAAATATGAGTAAAGTGCCATGAGTTCATGCATTAGCAGCTTACAAAAGAGTATGGTCTGATGAAAGCAAAGTAAACTTCAAGCAGAGCACACCAACTTAAGAATCAATTCAAGAAAGCTGTGCAAGATCAGAGAATGACAGCATTTGCTAAACAAGCTTTTTACTTTATAAGCAGAAATGCAAAACTACTGTACCATCCGTTGTCATTTTCCTTGACTGCCCCGATGTTGTGGTTAACCTAAATCCAGCCGGTAATGTTTCTGAGGACCCAGGCATCATGCTGATTCCGTGTACTTCACGGGGAGGAAACTGCCTTCTCCAGGTCGACCCACGCCTGAAATTCTTGTCATCACTCTGCCAGTACAGAGATACAATTTGATGTAATGAAAACAAGTAAACTAGTCCAGGTGCTTAAAACATGTAACACTGATTATTTACATTCAGTCTGTAAAGTATACATATGGAATACTATATTTCAAGGGTTATATTGATTCCAAAATGAGAATGCAGGATATGTGAAATAGAAATGTTTTATTAAAAAGTTCATATGATTTTGAATCTAAAACTTATATGAAAGTAAAATCTTTGAAAATTTAAAATAAAACCCCAAAGTTTTTCCAAAAAGAATTTTGGGTATACTTTGTTGCACTTCATGCCAACTGTTTTTATGTTATGAGATGATATACTTAGTTGAATAAAGTATTGGGTAAACACTATTTGATTCACACACTTGATTATTTTATGAATTTTGCTTTTATGTGTACAAGATATATGTTATGGAAAATCTATATTTGATACAACCTGGCTCATATGGGATACGATAATTTATATTCTGTGTAAGAAACTAAATTTGTCATTTGCTAGATTTCAGCTGATACAGAATTAACTTGTAGTTTGTTGAAAAACCTATGCAAATGGTCACCTTCCTTTTAATAAATACATGTGCTCATTAGATGCCACTAAAAGCATAATGTAAATCTGGCGGCTGTTTTACAGTGTAATTATTGTTGCTGATTCTATTATATCTTAAGTGCATAAAATCTTCCCTCTCTGTGCATACACATTGTACCTGCAGACAAACAATTATTTTCTCTGAATTGGTAAGCAACAATATGTAATTTACCATTTGACTGATTATATTCTTTGTTTCTAATCTAAGGAAAATATTAATCATTCTACATAGATCTTATCTTCTTATATCACTAAGTTTTTCATTTAAGGAAGGACTGTCTACTCCCTAAAATTATAGTTAAATATGTGTGGTTGACTCTGCTAGCTCAGGTGACTTCATCTGGGCATAGAGAATATATAGATATTCAGCCTAAATTATTGTTATAAATAAGAAACACTATAAAGTATTCTTTGTCATAGACTACTAATTTAAGTAGCATACAAGGTTAATCTGGGAAAAATAAAATCATTTATGTAATTACATATATCCATTTTTCTTTTAGAATCCTTATTATTAATATATAAATTTTGTTTAGATTTGATAGCCATTTTACACTTTAAGAGATTTCTGCTACTCTTCTCAACTGCTGCATTTTACTTTGCCTTAGACCTCCAAATGTTTATAAATGGAAAATTTATAAATGGAAAAGAGAAGCAGAATTTCACAGTTGTGGCCTCTCTGACTTCTTGAATCTTGGAAAAGTTGTTGCATGAACATAAATTTTCTTCAGTTCTATAAAACATTACATTACATTGTAGGAATGTACAGCTCCTATAATGTGTGAGATAAGGGCTCAAAAATATGCCAGTAAGTTGAGAATTTAAATCATGATTCCTTAACTTCTGTTCTTTCAACATAGTGTTACTGCAGAAAGTTAATGGGAACTATAAGCAACAACATCACAGGAAAAGGTTTCCATGAGAGGAGATTGAAAGATATGCTCTCAGCTGAGGATATCCTCTGTCTCAAATCATTTCAGTGGAATCTGAATGCCATCAGCCCCAGAAACAAGTCTATTCTGGCTCCAGCTAAGTTGTTTAGATATTTTTGTCCACACTCAAAAAACAAAACCAAAATCAAACAAACAAAGAAACAAACAAAAAAAAAAACTGAGACAAAAGCAACCAGAGGGTTTGAATGATAAAATCATGTGCTTTTTTAGTAATAAAAAGAGGTAGCATATTTTAAAGGCAGATAATAACGTTCGATTTAGACCTTTCAACTTGTTCATTACTTTTAAGAAGCAACACTAGAACCCACATAGACTTGTGTCTCTGACTGGACCTCTACTTCAGGTCAGTCTGCATTTTAGAATCGTTATGATATGACAGATCTTTAAAAATTTTTATTAAAATTATTTTTCCAACTTTTAAGTAAGGATAATAATTGTACTTAAAAGTGTGTATGGGGCTTCCCTGGTGGCGCAGTGATTGAGAGTCCGCCTGCCAATGCAGGGGACACGGGTTTGTGCCCCGGTCCGGGAAGATCCCACATGCTGCGGATCAGCTGGGCCCATGAGCCACGGCCACTGAGCCTGCGCGTCCGGAGCCTGTGCTCCGCAACGGGAGAGGCCACAACAGTGAGAGGCCTGCGTACCACAACATCAAATAGAGGATATCAATAGAGAGACAGAAATTATACATATATATGATATGTATTATATATATGATATATATATATATATAATATATATATACAGAGAGAGAGAGAATCTAATGGAAATTCTGGAATTGAAAAGTGAAACAACTGAAATTAAAAATTCACTAGAGGGGGCTTCCCTGGTGGCGCAGTGGTTGAGAATGTGCCTGCCAATGCAGGGGACACGGGTTCGAGCCCTGGTCTGGGAAGATCCCACATGCTGCGGAGCAACTAGGACTGTGAGCCACAACTACTGAGCCTGTGCGTCTGGAGCCCGTGCTCTGCAACAAGAGAGGCCGCGATAGTGAGAGGCCCACGCACCGCGATGAAGAGTGGCCCCCGCTCGCCGCAACTAGAGAAAGCCCTCGCACAGAAATGAAGACCCAACACAGCCAAAAATAAATAAATAAGTCATTTCTAAAAAGAAAAAAATCACTAGAGAGGTTCAGTAGCATCTTTGAACTGGAAGAATAAAGAATCAGCAAACTTGAAGATACAGCAATTGAGATTATTCAGTCTAAAGAACAGAAAGAAAAAAAGAATGAAGAAAAATGAACAAAGCCTCAGAAACCCATGGAACATCTTTGAACACACAATATACACTTAATGGGAATTCCAGAAGAGGAGCGAATTAGGCAGAAAAACATATTTGAAGAAATAATAGTCCAAAAATTCAAAAATTTGATGAAAAACATTAATCTACACATCCAAAGTCCAAGTAGACATCATAGTAAAACTGTTAAAAGACAGCGAAAATCTTGAACACAAGAGAGAAACTGATGTATCATACAAGGGAACCACAATAAAATTAACAGCTAATTTTGCATCAGAAACAATGGAGGCCAGAAGGAATGAGATGGCATACTCAAAGTGTTGAAAGAAAAAAATCCTGTCAATCAAGAAGTCTTTGTCCAATAAAAGTATCCTTCAACAGTGTAGGAGAATGAGAATTTGTTGCTAGCAGGCCTGCCTTATAAAAAATACTAAGGGAAGTCCTTCAGAGTAAAAGGAAATGACACCTGACAGTAAACTGAATCCACATGAATAAATAAAGAGCAAAAGGCAATTATATAGGTAAATACAAAGACACTACAAACATATTATTCTCTTTTATTCTCTTAACTGAGTTAAAAAACAATTGTCGGGTTTATAACATAAAGAGGGAATAGAGTTATATTGGAGAAAGGAAAGGACACCAGACAGTAGCTTGAATCCACAGAAGAACATGAAAAGAATCAGAAATGATAAATATGTGGTTTAATATAGAAAAATTCTATAAATACATTTTTTCTCCTCTTAAATTTTAAAAAAGACATATAAAGCAGTAATTATAACACTATTATTGGATTTATAACACATATGGATGTAATATATATGACAATAATAGCACAAAGGGTAAGGGAGGGAATTGAGCTATATTGGAGCAAAGTTTTGATAATTTATTAGAATTGAGTTAGTATTAATCTGAAGTATATTGTGATAAATTACATATTATAATCTCTAGAACAAACTGAGACTAGTAACTCAAAAATATAATGAAACCACAAAGGAATTAAAATGTATATTAGAAAAGTATTTATTTAACACAAAAGAAGACAGTAAAGGAAGAAGAGAAGCACAACAAGAACAAAAGAAGACATGAAACATAGAAAAAAAAATTGCAGAGAGAAATCCAACCATATCAATAATTACTCTAAATATAAATAAACATTCAGACTAAATGTGAATGACTTAAACATTATCAAACCAGATTTAAAAAACAAGATTCAATTATACACTCCCTACAAGAGACATTTTAGATGCATAGACACAAATAGGTTGAAAGCAAAAGAATGAAAAACTATACACCATGCAAACAGTAACCACAAGTGAGGTAAAATGTCTATACCAATATTAGATAAAATAGACTTTAAGACCAAGAAATATACTAAAGACAGAGATACTTTATAATGATAAAAGGGTCAATTCATCAAAATGATATAATTATGTGCACCTAACAACAGAGTCCCAAAATACATGAAACAACGCCTGACAGAACTGAAGGGAGAAATAGAGCATTCCACAATAGTGGCTAGAAAGACAACCTACTGAACAGGAGAAAACATTTGCAAATGATATGACTGATAAGGGGTTAATATCCAAAATATATAAATAGCTCATATAACTCGACAACAAAAAGAAACAACCCAATTAAAAAATGGGCAGAAGATGTGAATAAATACTTTTCCAAAGAGGACATTCAGATGGCCAGCAGACACGTGAAAAGATGCTCAACATCATTAATCATCATAGAAATGCAAACTAATACCATAATGAGATATCACTTCACACCTGTCAGAATGGCTGTCATCAAAAAGAACACAAATAAGAAATGCTGGAGGGGATGTGGCAAAAAGGGAACCCTTGTACACTGTTGGTGGGAACGTAAATTGCTGCAGCCATTGTGGAAATCAGTATGGACGTTTCTCAAAAAACTAAAAGTAGAACTACCACGTGACCCAGCAATTCCACTCCTGGGTATATATCCGAAAAAAATGAAAACACTAATTCGAAAAGATACATGCACCCCAATGTTCATAGCAGCATTATTTACAATTGCCAAGATATGGAAGCAACCTAAGTGTTCATCAATAGATGAATGGATAAAAAAGATGTTGCATGTATATATAATATGGAATACTACTCAGCCATAAAAAAGAATGAAATTTTGCCATTTGCAGCAACATGGATGGACTCGGAGGGTATTATGCTAAGTGAAATAAGTCAGACAGAGAAAGACAAATACTATATGATATCCCTTATATGTGAAATCTAAAAAATAAAGCGAACTAGTGAATATAACAAAAAAAAGAAACAGATTCACAGATATAGCGAACAAACTAGTGGTTACCAGTGGGGAGAGGGAAGGGCGGAGGGGTAAAATAGGGCTGGGGCTTAAGAGGTACAAACTATAATGTATAAAATAAGCTACAAGGATATGTTGTACAACACAGGGAATATAGTCAATATTTTATAATAATTATAAATGGAGTATAACCCTTAAACATTGAGAATCACTATGTCGTACACCATAACATATAATATTGTACATCAACTATACTTCAATAACAAAATTTTTAAATTAAAAAAATTTTAAGTGGCTAAATAACCAAAAGAAAAATTAAAAAAAATACAAACCATAATGGAAAAGAATGTGAAAAAATATATATGTATATATACACACATATATATACATATATATATATATATAGAGAGAGAGAGAGAGAGAGAGAACTGAATCACTTTGCTGTATGCAAGAAACTACCACAACATTGTAAATTAACTATACTTCAATAAAAAAGTAAAAAAAAATAAGGATTGAAAAGATTATCAAAGTTATAAAATTAAAATCAGTTAAATATTAACTGTTTTTAAAAAATATTAATCATTATCCTGATTGGACAGGAGTATGAATTTACAGGAAGTTAGCTGAGGTCAAGACTGTAGAGCTTATCTAACTTCCTCTGAAAAGGACAGCTTGGGTTTTATAAAACCAAGATCACCTGCCCTGCCCATTTGAATGTGGAATTATTGTCTCATTTTAGGAATTGCTGTGTTCATTCACAAATCTATTTTAATCAGCTTTTCTTTACAGCCAAGAAACACCTGCATTTTGCAACACAGAATTATGCATCACTGTATTTTCCACTTCATACTCAGGTTTCCTCCCCATTTCTTCGAGAAAGATCCTTGAAAACCTCAAAAGGAATATTAAAATCCACAGTTTATCAATGCACAGAGTGTGCTAATATCCCTTGTATTCCTTCATCTTGGGAGACTACTTACATGTTTACTATTTTCCAAATCATTTAAACATGCATTTACTATGTGTAGAGATTCTTACACTCAATATAACCTTCAATTCCTATGACTGTTAAAATGTTACTCATATATTTTTAAGGAAAACACAATATTGATATCTAAAATAATCAAAAGCTTCCCATTTATTGAAAGCAAGTTTTTTCTTCCTTTAAATATCTTAAAATTTCCTGTGAAGATATACTGATATTTAAGAAATAAGCACATCCCTTATTAAAGAGCTGAATTCATTAGGGCTAGTGTTGTCATTACTTACAATTTAAAAAATTTTGCTCAACATTATTTTGCTGTCATAGCTCATGAAAAATGTCTGAATTTGAAATACTGCTGATATGATAATATATATGAATTTATAAAGTTCTTTCCCAAATCAAATTAGTAAAGTTAAATATTTAAGAATAATAGTGGGGAAAATTCTAGATTCTATCCATAAAACAAGCATCTGATTAATTTTGAGCACTAGTCCTTGAAAGCCATTTTACTTGTACTGTCCCAGGTCCCTTTTGAATGACAATGACAGACAAAGACTTACTTCATCCAGTCGCCTTTCAGTTCCCAGAGCCAGGAGGTTATTGTATTCCCTTTCAAGAATCTGCCTTGCCTGTCGAGATCAGATTAGAGTTAACATCATTGAAGTCACCTTTTATTTGAAAAATCATAGCGATTATATTTACCTGAGAAAACATTCCAATACCCTGTTTTATTTACAGGGGTCTCATTTTTTTCATCCTCTATATCTATAAGCCATTGTAAATTTTAACTATAAACACAAGGAAGGGCAATTTTCTTTAGTCTGTGGACAGTAGAGACAGCCTCACATAAACGTCTGAGGTCAAAGGGTTTGACCTCACTTTGTTACTTTATTCCAATTGAATATTTTATGTAAACTTTGAAATACATAAAAATGAAATAAAAAGTAAAGTTAGACTGCCACATTTTTATCAAGTCTATGCAGGTAGTTCTCAAACCTGGCCAATCATCATCATTTGGGGAAACTTTAAATGATTAGGGTTCCTGTGCCCTATCTCTTGATACTGATTTCTTAGGCTTGTGATGTAGATTGCACGTTTTATTTTAAGTTTTTAAGGAACTCCAGCAATTCAAATAATTATCCAGACTTGGGAAACAATGGCACACCCAGAGCTGAGTGTCTGTATAATTCAGACATGTAAATAGAAATGACTGCCCCTCAGAGAGCCAGAGACTAAAGGCCATCTGTCAGGGATATTGTTTGGGGGAATCTGGCATTCAGGTGGGAGGTTGGACCACAGAACTTCTAAATCCCTTTCAACTTAATTTTATGATTTTGTTTTGGCTAGAAATCCAGTAGCTTGAAATTAAAGTCCCAGTGACATATATCAAAGGTTGAACTAACTCCCATTAGGAATCATGAATACACAGCCGACTTTTTTTTCCTAAAAGTTTACTTTGTCCTTACATAAACCAGGACACAGTGCAACTACAGCACAAAGGGGCTTGCCTGGGTGTTCTGTGTTGGAATCTGTAGTAATAAAGCTAAGCTGCTGTAGTCAAAGTTCTCATCCAGGGCTATAAGTGAGCCATGCACACCACTTTCAAGAATATTATTTGCATATTCTCGAAGTCCAATTGCTTGTATCCAGCGAATAACTCGATCATTGCTCCACACCAACACATCTAGAAAAAGAGGTGCATCATTTTAGGCTGCAGTATTTTGCACAGTAAATAAAAACTGCTGGCTGAAATGAGCCACAGGCGTCTGGCCAAGTCAGCATTTATGCTGGCTTCTTTATCCACTCCCTAGTGCAGCTGGCTCCTTGTGTTACATGTATTTACCACTCTAATAACTAACCCTTTCTACTTTTAGCCCAGAAAAAAATTTGTGATTTTAAGAGTGTTTGTTATCACTGAAATGAGAGCATTTCCATCACATGGAACATAATGTCTCAAAGTGTTTCTTGTTTTCATTCTGGAGCTCTAGGAGGTCTGTCTGAAGTTCAATGCTTTTACCACCAGATGGGGACATTTCTTATTTGTGTCCATATACAGCTCTTCAGTCAAGAGAGCAAGATGACAATCTAAAATGGTTCTTCGTCAGAGTATTTTTAAACTACTACCTAACCATTGTGTATAGGCTAGAAGAAACTTTTTTTTTTTTCCATCTAAAGCAATAAGTCAGAGAACAGAATAGTAAGAGAACAGGCACTCAATAGTTTGATACTTACCCTACTATTTTGTCAATCCATTATTTCTCAATCACATACTAATCCAAAAATCAACCACTCTCAAGTCATAAGTTGTTTTTCCTTTTAGGTTGAAACGCAATATTTTACTAAGGTACAAAACACTTTGAATTTTATTTTCTAAAACTAAAACCTTTAGAGAAAAATGTCATATATACCTTTTTAGACCAAAACATATCAAAGTATATTTTATCCTTTTTCCATTCCTTCTCATTATGAGTTGACATAATACTACATAATAGCCAGCAAAAGTCAGAAGGACCAGAATGTTCCATTGAAAAGAAAGAATTTTGAGGAACTTAAGGGGAAATAAGAAAAGAATTAAACCTTTTTTTCTAATCCTTAAGGGGAATGAGAAAATAATTAAAACATTTTTTTTAAAAAAAGAATCAAAACTTTTTTTCATTTCTAGAAAGGGAAATGAAACCCATAATTTACTAGTACAGTAAAAGTAAGTTTTCCTATTAATTTTTTTTTTCTTTCAGAATGAAATTTATACCTTGTCTGGAAAAGTATAAAGAATACTTTGGGAACTATTCTTCAACTTCAACTGTTCATTTCCCCAATTTAACTTATCTGCAAAAATCTTATTAGTATTTTCTTCTTTGTGTGTGTGTGTGTTGGGGGGGGGGAGAGTATTTATATATTAAGTTTTTCAAAAGCATTACTAATTTGTCCTAATGCATTAATTTATAACCAATTCAGATGTTCTTGTGCATAACATCAAAGCAATAAAGTGATACTTCAGCACCACAGAGGTCCCCTCATGTCCTTTCTCAGTTATTATCCTCACCTCAACAATAACCAATATTCTGACTATGCTCACGCCAGATTAATTTTGCCTGATTTTTTAGTTTTTCATAAATGCTGTCGTACAATATGTATCTTCACTCAATATAGGGTTCACCCATGCTATGGCAAATAGCAGTACCTTGTTTATTTAGTATTCCATTGTATGATTATGTCACAATTTATCCCGTCTACTGTTGATGGAAATTTGGGTGGATTCTACTGTGGTTATTAAGAATAGTGCTGCTTTGGGGCTTCCCTGGTAGCGCAGTGGTTGGGGGTCCGCCTGCCGATGCAGGGGACACGGGTTCATGCCCCGGTCTGGGAGGATCCCACATGCCGCGGAGCGGCTGGGCCCGTGAGCCATGGCCGCTGAGCCTGCGCGTCCGGAGCCTGTGCTCCGCAACGGCAGAGGCCACAACAGTGAGAGGCCCGCGTACCGCTAAAAAAAAAAAATATATATATATATAATCTACCAGTATCTTTTCAACTATTGCTTCTTCCTCATTCTCTCTTACCTCTCTTTCTGGGATTCCAATTACACCTATACTAGACTCCTCCCTGTGTCCAGTGTCTCTAATGATCTGTTTTGTATCACTCATCCTTTTGTTTCTTTTCACGTTTCAGGCCAGATATTTTCAACTGATATATCTTTTATTTCCTTATTAGTTCCAGTTTAAACTTTCTGCTTCTTAAAATTTCCATTTAATCATTTCTTAACATATTGATTCTAACTATTTATTAAAAATTTTCCATTTTGTCACCTATTTTCTTAACGCATTAATCACAATTGTTTTAAAGTCCATGTCTGGAAAAAAATCATCCAGGGTCACTTGTGGATATATTTATATTTTCTGTTTTATTCCTTTTGGTTTTCCTCATTTTGCCCCATTATTTGACATGTTTTATATATATATATATATATATATATATATATATAT